ACAAATACTGCATGATCTCACTTAAATATGGCATCTAAAAAAGTCAAACTCATAGAAGCAGAGAGAGTAGGACAGTGATTATCAGGGTCTGGAAAGCAGGAGGAAAGGGGAGATACTGATCAAAGGGTGAAAACCATCAGTTCTAAGAAGAGTAAGTACTAGAAACCCAATGTATGGTATGGTGACCATAATGTATAGCATGTGAAGTGATCATTATGTTAATTAGCTTGATTGTGGCAATCATTTCATAATGTATACATATATCAAAATATCATGTTGTACACCTAAGTATATTCAACTTTTTGTCAATAAAACTTCAATAAAGCTGGACAAAAATAAAAATAGAAACAAAACTGTAAGTACAATAAAACTGTTTAGTTTTTGTGGAAATTAGTAAGAAAAGCACAGGTATAGATAGTTCGTAAAGTGAAAAATTCCAAATAACTGGAAAATGCGATTATCATCATTATTTTGGAGGAACTTAGAATTTTGGGGAAAGGTTTCATTGAAGTAGATAGAGAATTGTTACTTATTGAGCAGAGGAGCAGATGCATTTGTCCATTAAGCCCAATTCCTAATCCTCCTTCTTATTGCAAAAAGCTGCCAAATGCCTCGTATGTGTGTATAAGGTGCATAGTATTCAGAAATAAAACTTGGGAGATGCTCTTTCCTCTTTAAAAGTGTTATACGCAAGGTGGAAACCTGCAGTTATTTACATTTCACAACTACTGAGCTATTATCATTCCTGGGGCTTAAAGATTTAACATGATTGCCAAAGCACATCTGATTGATAACCAGCCAGAAGCTCAGATGTGTGCAGGTTCTGCCAGTCTCCATCGCTTTCTTTTGCACAGAGATGACGCTCTCCTGCCCTTCCCCCTCCTTTCTGCAGCTTAGGAGGGGAGAGGGGCTGTATCTCAAGAGTAAAGAGGTACATTGGGCTCATGACCAGGATGTCAAGGACCTGCTGCTTATTATTGGGGCTGTCCAAATCTCCTTTCTCGGTAAATCTCAGCACTTCCTCATCCCGTCCCTGTGTTCTGGTGTGGAAGTGGACAACTACTTTGGCGTGGTCTGGGCATCCTCAGGCAGGCCTGGGATTGATCCCACCTCTGCCAACTACCACTTGCAGCTGTTTGATCTGGTTTAAGCTATTTATCCCCTCCGAGACTTGCTAACTGCATCTGTAAATGGGGGATAATGGCATAGCTACTGCACAGGATTTTCTCGGAACTAGATTAAATAACATATATAAAATATCATACAAAAACCATAGCATAGAACAAAAGCTAAACAAAAATGTACTTTCCATATTCTTCCCTTTGGTTTGCAGCAATATATTAACAATTACTCTATTGTATTCTTCTTTCTAGCTTGCACTTTCTTTCTAGCTTGCACTTTCCACATCTATAAAAAGTTTAAATGATTTATAATTCCTATATACTAGCGAAGGCTTAAAATCCCTCCACTTTCAGATCTATAAAAGAGGAATAAATGACATTGTTCTATACATTCTTAGGTAGGTGGGATAAAACTGTACTGAGAGATTAAGATGGGGAAATTTGATCTAGGCGTTATTGAATAAGTAAGGTTTCGGTAAGCAAATAGGTATTGAGAGAATAAGGAAAGACTCGCAGAGTCTGATGTTTTGTTAGTTTTAACAAAAGTGAGTTAGATAAACTGGCTCACTCTAAGATAATAAAGATTCTTCTAAGCTGTGCATGTAAATTTGAAAGAGGGCAACTCAAAGGAAGCCTAAAGGTCTCTCTTGGGCAATGGATGCCCTTCCCTACCTTCCAAAGAACCACAAAGGCAGGAGTACCGCAGACCTCACAGGAGGCCGCTGTTCCCCACCGGACAGTAATCTACATGAGAGCAAGGACTCCATCTGTTTTGTTGCCAGGTGTACTTGCTGAATGTCGAACTTCGGATGAATATATGAGTGTCACTGAGGCACTTAAAATATTAATGTCTGAGCGTGGGGTAAAATCCAGGAAAAGGGAACCTAGTGATCTTTTTATAATAGCAGTTCTCCTGGAACACTTCCCGAAGACACCCGAGAGCACTTTTGCAAAAGCTGGTTATTTTATTCAAGCTCGTAGACAGGTTTCTCTCGCCTGCTGTACAGCTGTGAGTGTGGGAGCACAGTTCTCTGGGGACCTGGGCATATGTTCTCTCCCTGAAAAAAACTCTGGGAGAGAACCCCAAAGGACACAGTGTACCCCTCTCTCAGCCAAGAAAGGAAAATCCTGCCTGAAATACGCCCTCAGGCAGTGAGTAAATGTGTGAGCTGGAAATAGAGTTTTACCAACTCAACTGTGTGTTACAATGAAGAGGGAAGTGATGGATGAGTTGGAAATGCTGAGTGCAATCTTGGGTCTCCCACAAAATAGCTATAGTATGATAAGCTCTCTGGGTTTCAGTTTCTCCCCCATAAATAAGGAGATTAGTCCACAGACATGTCAAAATACCTTCCACCCCAATGCTCCCAATTTTATTGGCATTTCCTGCAGTTGCGAAGCTGGAAGAATACTCAGAGTTTTGGAGCTCAGCTTTCTTATTTCATAGATGAGAAAACTAAGGTGTGGAGAGGTGAAGTTACTTGTCAAAAAACACAAAGCCAATTACCAGGGAGCTGAGATTAGAACCAATATTCTCAGACCACCAATCCAAAGGTTCCTAACCTTTTATGAGTCACAATGCAACTTAAAAATCGTATGAAAGCTATGGACCTTCTTGGAGTTGGGGAGGGGATGGGGGTGCAAAGGCATCACATGTAAACACAGAAAATGTTCAAACTATTTAAGGGATGTGTCTTAGATTTCAAGTTAAAAGTTCTATGGAACATTTTATTAGCCAAGGTAGATGTTGGGACTAAATGTTGAAAGGAACATATTTATAAGTGATGGATAGTGTACCTCTGGCTTCTTTGGTTTAATATTAATAACTTCATTTGTGCAAAAAGCGTCAAAAACATAACTGGAACAAGTTTGGGTTTATATCTGCCTTCCAGATAGGTCTTGCTTGCCTCTTTTGTTGATGACAGTTTCTGACATTTAAAAAGCCAGTTCTTCTTTTAAATATTACAGTGGTTGCTCTTCTTATAAATACTTCTGTTACATTCAGTGTTCAACTCATGTCAGCTATAGCCAGATAACACAAGGGCCTGGTTAAAACAGAAAAGATTTCCTCATTAACTAGATGTGAAGGTGGCCACTACTAATTATTTCTTGAATTGGATCTTTGGGCAAGGTGCATTAAAATGACCTGTTCTTCTTGAAAATATATAGTATATAGTGCTGGACCCCAGCCCAGACCTATTGATTGAGAATCTTTAGGAAGTAGAGCTAAAGAATCTATGTTTTTACAAACTCTCCAAGTATTTATTATGCATACATGAATATTGCCATTCTCAATACTTGTCCAAATATTTTCAGTCTTTAATAAAACTAACCTAGTGAAAATGCTATCCTAAAAGATTCTTTGGTCTTTGAAATATTAAGATAACTCAGATTTCAGACTTCTGGAGAATATACTAAAGTATGTTTAAAGTATAAACACATAAAGTATGTTATGTATAAACACATAAAGTATAAAGCACATAAAGTATGTTATGTGCTAAAGGGTGTATTCTTCCATTTTTCAAAGAAAATATATTTTCTGATACTTGAAATACAAGGAGATAAATGGCCATGCCATGACTAATGCCATGCTGGGCACTGTGTAAGATATCTAGACTTCCTCTCTGTGGCCCTCATGTTCCAAGAGCTTCCTTGGTATATATTCTTATTGTAATATTCACAATTGCATGTATTCCTGCCATTGAAGACTTGCCTCCATATTTGTTTTAATTAAATATAGAAATATCAAGTGTATTATTCTAAAAAATACCTCAGCAGATGGTAAATATAAAATTTATATCTCCTCTTAGCATCAAATGAACTAACCATGCATACTCATATGCTGGTAGAACAAAAACCCATTTAAGAATGACTGAGTCTGACATTTTCTAACTTTAAAACACTATGGCTCTTATACATATATATGTATGTATCAGTAGTAAACATGTGGATGGATAGTTGTTTCTTTGGATCAAGCTACTGAGTTACTCCAGTGCATTTGAAATGTATGTCCCATGCACACTCCAACCGGTGAATGGCCTGGAACCTGTGAGAATACAGGTGGGTCTGAAAGATCCCAAAGTCAATTGAGTATGACAGACTCATGTGTAAGTCTGATGAACTGTCCATTTATGAACTAAGCATTCTCTAGTTTTTCAAATGGCTTCAGAGAGCTCCTGGGGATATTAATTCAGCTGCTTTTCACTCTCCTGCCTCCAGGTTTCGGATTCTCAGGTGTTCTCCTGGGCTTACATTCCTTGTGTTTCTGTATAGCTGTTTCTGGGATCAGGTCCCCCTACTCTAGCAGTGGGGTCAGAGTGAGACCAGCATACTCCAGCCCCCAAAGCTTCATTTTAGGGCATGGAGAATTTGGAAGCTTCCATTGAGTAGGAGTATAGGGTATCCTTGGGATCTTATACCTACTCTGACACGGTGTTCAGTTAAAGCCCAGTTGCCCTTGACTACCTGATGTGTGGCCCATTGAAATGCCCACAGACTTTGCAGTCCAATAAGCACATGCTTTCATTAAATTGGGTGGATTACTTTTTTACCCCCTGTAGAGACTATTTCTCGATTATAGTTTATTAAAACTACCTGTGCAGTGTACCATTATTCTCCCTGCTTATATTCATGAACGGGCTATTCTCAATAGGAACATCCAGATGGAAATCAATAATCAGTCTCTTATATAGGGCAAAGGAGAAAAAAAAAAAAGAAAACCCACCAGTGTGCTGCATTCATCTGTGTTTAAGAGGTCTTATCATTAAAGCAGCAGCAGGCATTCATAAACCAAGCTTGCCAGTAGTGCTGGACATACAGGATTAAAATAATCATACACCAGGCTCTGTCTCATGAATGTTTTCCTTTTACTTTTGGCAGGATCTCCAACCTGAGTATATGCCAGTTGAAATGGGAACACTGAGGCCAGCAATTTAAGGATTTCACATTTGCTTGCAGTGGTAAGATTTAAAGATATAACAATGAAGGGCATTAACTACTACTGGGTTCTGGATGTCTGCACTAGATGTGAAACCGAAGCTGTTTAGGTAGATCTTGTTTGGCCAATACAGATCTCTATTCGGTTATCTTGCAAAACCATGGCAAACACAAGAGAAATCCATGATCCATAAATATTGAACACAGTATTGATGGTATGGGTGAAAATGGGGAAAGTAAGTAATAATTAAATTTATTTATTTATGCACATTTGGACCAAGCAGAGGAAATGTTTTCCATTTGGGGCGATGAAACTGTTTCTCTTCAGAAGAGATGATTATTAGAGCACAAGGGGACACAAAGCTTAAGACCAACGAGGAGCAAGAAAGAGGGAGTGACTCTGTTTTCAATTCCGAATGGCAGAGTCATACGTTTAACGTGAGTCCAAAGGTTTGGTTTCTAGAAGAACCTGATCTGTAGTTAGTTAAGGGATTGCATAAAAATGGCGAATCTCTCATGCTGATGGCAGTACACCTCCACACACTGGATGATTGCTGCCATCAGAGATGCATCTGTGTGCCATGACTTAAAAAGTGGTTATCACGGTGGAGATGTTGCCAGGTGGATGGAAAATTGAGTTATTGGAAGATCCTTTTGAAAAGAGAAGTCTTCTACCCTCCGTGTGTGTATTTACCTATACACACACACAACACACACACACACACACACTTTAGATCTGAGGCCCAGGTATACTATTGAAAAAGGTAATAATTAAATATTTACATCCTTTATGAAAGAAAGCACAGTCTCTGAACCCATTTCCAAAATAATGTAGAAATTAAACCATGATGTGGCAAAAGCAGAGTCAAACAAGATCGTCTAGCCCCAGTAGGTTCTTTGGACCCTGAGTTATTGAATTTAATAGGTTAAATTCAGAAATGATATCCATTCCATTACCCACCTCAAGTTGAGACAGATTTTCATAGGGTGAGGCTATATTTGGCATGTTCATTTCTCTGAGGACTCCCATTTTAATATGTTTTCTATATATTTCTGAGTCCCTATTTTCATGTGATCTCATAGCATCTCCATGGTGCATGGAACAAAATGTGACTCTTAGCTATCTGATTTGTCTATTCTTGCATACTGGCCATAGGCTTATATCTGTGAAGTTTTGAAGGATGTATTTTCAAAATTCAGCGTTCATGTTTTACTCCTCTTAGTATATTCTTCTCAAATGGCCCTGCTGATTTATTCAGTTATATTATTGCAGTAACTTTTAGTTTAATAGGTTGTATTTTCAAAATCTATTTATGGAATAATGGAAGAATGATTGTGAAATAGCCTGGAAGATGCATTACTTAAACTGATACCTGAACGTAATGATACAACTTTACACTTTTAGACATATAAAAGTAAATGAATGTATTATATGGCTTCTTTTATCTGAGTATTACATTCCTTTTGAAAATTAAGTAACTTTGCATTTGAGTTTCACATTTTACTTCATGATTCAATGTGTTTTCTATGAACTACCCCCAAAGCCCAATTTCCATACATAAGTCATGATTTCTTCAAATATACATGGAATTTAAGAGAACATCATAATTAGAGTAATTGAATCTCAGATATCAGAAGGGCAAGAGTTAAACTGAACAGGGCTTTTTAACACCAAGACTGAGCAATGTGAGGAGGAACAAAAAAGGGAAACAAGCATTTGATTGGCCTTAATGAAACCATAAACCTCTATGGAAGGGACCCATAACTCACTTCTGGACCACAGAAGTTATCATTTCATCTGAACTCTGTATATCAAATTATGCTTTTTGTTAGCAGAAATGAAAGCCTACTAAAAAGTCCCAATAGATCATGCTAAATTGATTTGCATCATTTAAGACATGGCAAAGTTTTCTTAAAACTAGCCTTGGAGCTAGCTCCTAATCTCTGCAGAAAATGAATGATGACACTGAATCCTGTCCCACTTCTGCAATATAAGGACACTGTGTTGACCCATTAGACTTGTTTGATAAAGAATGCACTGATGCAGGGTAGCAGAGTAGGAGAACACTGATTTAGAAATCAATGGACTTCCTAATTCTAATCCTAACACCATAGCTAATTTAGCTAGAGAAGTTTTTCCTGTTTTTGCCTCTGAGATTTTTGTTTGTTTTTAAATTTTCTTAAATTTCAGCATATTATGGGGGTACAAATGTTTAGGTTATGTATATTGCCCTTGAAGCTCTCAGAGCTTCAAGCATGTCCATCCTCCAGACGCACCCATTAGGTGTGTATATATCCATCCCTTCCTCCCCCTTCCCATCTTCCCGACACCCGATGAATGTTATCACTATATGTGCACTTAAGTGTTGATCAATTAATACCCATTTGATGGTGAGTACATGTGGTGCTTCTTTTTCCATTCTTGGAATACTTCACTCAGTAGAATGGGCTAAAGCTCTATCCAGGATAATACAAGAGGTGCTATATATTTAAAATCTCTAAAATGTCAGGCCTCAGTTCTTTTTTTTTTTGAGACAGAGTCTCACTTGCCTGGGCTAGAGTGAGTGCCCTGGCATCAGTCCTAGCCTCGACAGAAACCTCCAACTCCTGGGCTCAAGAGATCCTTCTGCTCAGCCTCCCGAGTAGCTGGGCATGCAACATCATGCCGGCTAATTTTTTCTATATATTTTTAGTTGGCACTTAATTTTCTTTCTATTTTTAGTAGAGATGGGGTCTCGCTCTTGCCCAGGTGTTTCAAACTCCTGACCTTGAGTGATCCGCCCATCTCGACTCTCAGAGTAGCCTCAGTTCTTAATCTGTAAAATGAGGTTAATGCTTTACTTCTCTGTAGATTTCCTTGGAGATAAATAATAATAAAGAAACACTTTGAGGAAACTTAAAATCACCACGTGGAATGTAGTATTGCTATAATAGAAAGTCGATTCCTTGTTAATAGCACTTGTCTGATTTGAGTGTTACATCAAAAAAGCATTTTCATCAATCCTGTCTATGTTTTTCACATTAAATGAAGGCTTACGATTGTTCTGAGCTCTAATATTCTTGGCTTTCCTCATTAAATTATGATAGCAACAAAAGTCAATTATTATCTCTTCCTGGCTTGTATATGAACCTGTCCTGGTGGGTGTCTGTACTGATCCCCAATTTCATTGTCCTAGAGTTACTCCAAAAGGTGAGCATGAGAGACAGGAGAAGAAATGCTTCCAGTACAACCCCTGTCAGCAAGAGGGAAAGAAGGGGTCTCTGAGTTTGATCCTTGAGGTGAATCTGCCTTCTCCAGGCCTCCCTCCCCAAATCTTTTCAGATGTAGACTTTTTACCAAAGCAGACCCTGTGTATCTTTCTCCTCCTTTCACCCGCCTGTCTCCTTTCTCCTCTCCTTCACACCTCAGAAAGTCCTTTGATTGTTTACAATCTAGGATTTTTTTAGCTATTGACCCACAGCCTCTGCTTCCATAAATCCTGCTTTAAGTGTTTGATCTGTAAGACAAATAACCCCCGTAGCCCAGAGTTTACTCTCTGACTCTGTTTCATTACAATGTTGTAGACAATCAATATGAGTTGGGGGGGAGATGTCTTGGGTCAAAAAACACAATTTGCTTGAACACACCATAGTCTTTGCACTTGCAAAGAATTGTGATCACATGTCCTTTAAGAATAAAGCCAAATTGTTGGACAACGTAACTTAAATAATACATGAGAAATTCCAACAATTACATGACACAGAAAATCTTGCAGAGCTCCCAGTTCACGTACTAATGTAGAAGCAATCAAGGACTATGAATAATGGATGGAGTTAAACATAGTGGTCCAAATTTGTATCCAGTGTGCTAGAGAAGAACGTTAATGTAAGGGATGTGGATCAAAGAAATTGGCTGACACATGAGATACCAACCAAGAGTATCATCATTTACATTGTTTAGGGGTAAATTTGCACATCATCGCAAGGTCAACCCTGTGGAGATAGATATCTTTGTGCACTACCCTCCTCCCCAGTGAGACTCTTCCCTGGTCCCAGAATCCCCAACCACGTGGAACCATCATTTGTTCCTTCTGTGGCTATTGAAATTTACCTCATTTCTACCAATTTATTCTCCCAAGAGAAGAAAGTAACCAATGGCCTCTTCGAGTGTGCGATTGGTCCATTCTGTGCTCATGTTAGAACACAACATAAACCTTCTTTGGGTCACCCAATTCTGAGACTAATCTGGGAGAGTAACCAAAGAGAATTAAGATAAGAATAAGGTATGGGAAATGTTGTCCTAAGATATCCCTCCAAAATTTCCATGTGTTTATACTGACCCAATCAGCCTGAAAATTATACTTTGAAATCATCACAGCAGCTGATACAACTAACAACCCAGTAAACCAATTTTCTCAGAACCTGGCTGATGTGGATACTTCTATTATTTCTAGTGTTACCAACTAGGAGGTAATTTCTCCATTCAATAATTGACCTATACTTCTCCCCCAAACCAAACTAGGGGTGAGATATAATCATCAAAGAGAGCTCCTTAGGACCTTCCCAGGAATGGGATCATGAAATTATGGAAATCGACAGAATTCACGTAGCTATTTCATTAATATTTCACTGAAGCTCCAGAGAACTGCAAGTATTTTCTATTCTAGTCACCCCCTATTACTTCGAGGCTGATCAAATAACGCGTGATAACAATAGGAACTGGGAACCGCCATATCTGCAATGGTCCCATCCATCACTCAACATTTTTGGTGTAATAAAGTCAAAAGCAAATTTTCTTCTTTTATTTTCAGTTTTGCATCTGACAAAATGTCATTAGAGCTCAGTGACTTATGGAAAATTGGGACAGATTGAGAGCCTCTGATAAAAGGCAGTCTTTATATCACTGAAGGATTCTACTAAATTGAGGGGCAAGGGGAGTAATAGTTCTTAATAATGTGTTGTCGTCTTATCAACCATCTGCAAAAAATTCTAATTAAATAGCGAAAGATACATTTTAAAATATATCATAAAGACACAAATATGA